TAGTCTGTAAATTTTCATTCCAAGTTTCTTAACATTTTCCTTCTATGGGTTTGGCTCTTGTGTCACTTGGGTGGGTACGATGTTTCGGTATGTTTATTTAGTTGCTAGTTGACCACACCTTTGGTTTTCTTTCATATGATTAAATTGTTATTGCTTGTAACTTCCATCTGGTTTCTCTCCTTTAAAATTATGACTTCAGAGGGCAGTCCTCTCGCCGGTCTTTGTTTTCTGTGCTTTTATGGTGATTTATATATGTATATTTATACATAAATATTTAAATAACAGACTTATTGACATATAATTTCCATACCATAAAATTCATCCCTTAGTACATTCACAGAGTTGGGCAACTTTTGCCACTGTCTTTTTTTTTTTTAAAGATTTTATTTATTTATTTGACAGAGAGAGACACAGCGAGAGAGGGAACACAAGCAGGGGGAGTGGGAGAGGGAGAAGCAGGCTTCCCGCTGAGCAGGGAGCCCGATGTGGGGCTCGATCCCAGGACCCTGGGATCATGACCTGAGCCAAGGGCAGCCGCTTAACGACTGAGCCACCCAGGCGCCCCTTTTGCCACTATCTTATTTTACAGTATGATCATGACCTCAAAAAGAAATCCTGTACGTATTAGCTGCGACTTCCCAAACTCCTCTGCCCCCAGCAACCCCCAATCTACTTTCTGTCTCAATGGCTTAACCTACTCTGGACATTTTATATAAAGAGAATCATACATCATAGCAGTTTTTTGTCTCTGGTTTCTTTAACTTAGCGTAATGTTTTCAAGGTTCATCTATGTTGTAGCAAGTAGCAGCATTTCGTTCCTTATCATGGCTAAATAATATTGTGTTAAATGGATATTCCACACTTTATTCACCAATTGATGGACATTTGTATTCACTTTTGCCCTGTTATGAATAATGCCACTGTGCCAATTTTTTGTGGACGTGTTTTCATTTCTTTTGGGTATATACCTACAAGTAGAACTGCTGCATTAAATGGTAACCCTATTTTTAACTTTTTGAAGAACTGCCACACTGTTCTGAAAAGTGGCTATACCATTTTACATTCCCATCAGCTACGTATGAGGGTTGTAATTTCTCCACAATCTTATCAACACATATTATTGTCTATATTTTTATCTTAGCCATCCTAGGAGGTGTGAAGTGATGCTTCATTAAGTTTTGATTTACATTTCCCTAATGACTAATGATGTTGGACATCTTTCTTTTTTTTTTTTAAAGATTTTATTTATTTATTCATGAGAGACAGAGAGAGAGAGGCAGAGGGAGAAGCAGGCTCCCAAGGAGCAGGGAGCCCGACGCGGGACTCGATCCCAGGACCCTGGGATCATGACCTGAACTGAAGGCAGACGCTTAACCCTCTGAGCCACCCAGGCGCCCGATGTTGGACATCTTTCATGTTCTTATTGGCAAATGTAGAATGGAGAGTGGAGAAGAGAGGCTAGGACAGCTAGTGCAGTCCCTAAAACCCAGTGCAGTGATGGAGTTTACCCTGAGCTGCTCCCTGGACGCGTATGGAGCAGTGGATTCGCATGGTGCAAGGACAGAACAATGGCAGACACAGAGCTGCCACGCCCTTCAGGAAAGCTCTTGCTGCCCAGTTCAGAAGTGGTATATCTTGTATATCTTCTTTCTATTTATTTATTTTAACTAGGCTCCATGCCCAGTGCAGGGCTTGAACTCACAACCCTGAGATCAAGACCTGAGCTGCGATCAAGAGTTGGCCACTCCACTCAACTGGCTGAGCCACCCAGGCACCCTGAAAATGTCCATTTTAAAGTTGGGCTAATTTAAAAAAAAAAAATTGTTGAGTTGTAAGTTCTTTATATATTCTGAACACAAGTCCCTTCTCATATATATGATTTTCTTTTTTTTTTTTTTAAGATTTTTATTTATTCATTTGAGACACAGAGATACAGAGAGAGAGAGAGAGAGCATGAGCAGGGAGAGAGGCAGAGGGAGAGGGAGAAGCAGGCTCCCTGCTGAGCCAGGAGCCTGATGTGGGGCTCAATCCCAGGACCCTGGGATCATGACCTGAGCTGAAGGCAGATGCTTAACCATCTGAGCCACCCAGGCGCCCCATATATATGATTTTCAAACAAACATTTTCTCACATTCTGAGGGTTGCCTTCTTAGTTTCTTGATGATGTCCTTTGAATTAAAAGTTTTTAATTTTGGAGAGATCCAATTTACTTTCAGTTTTGTCACTTACACATTTTGGTGTCACTGTAAGAAATGATTGCCTATGCCAAGGTCACAGAGATTCAATCCTGTGTTTTCTTTGAGGAGCTTCATAGTTCTTGGTCTTACATTTATTATTTTTTTAAAGATTTTATTTATTCATTTGACCGAGAGAGACACAGCGAGGGAGGGAACACAAGCAGGGGGAGTGGGAGAGGGAGAAGCAGGCTTCCCGCCGAGCAGGGAGCCCAACGCGGGGCTTGATCCCAGGATCCCGGGATCATGACCTGAGCCGAAGGCAGATGCTTAACGACTGAGCCACCCAGGCGCCCTAGGTCTTACATTTAGATCTATTATTGAAGTTAAGTTAAAGTTAATTTTTGATACGCTATGAAGTAGGGGTTCAAATTCATTCTTTTACACATGAATATCCCGTTGTAAAGATAATTCCTTTTCCATTGAATTATCTTGGCACCCTTTTCTAAGGTCATATCTCTATTATAAAATTTACCAAAGTTTGCCTTGTTTTGTGGTAAACTGGATAAATCTTTCTCTGTCATTGGAGTATAGGGAATATGTTTTGTTCATTTAAAATGAGAAAATCAGGGCACCTGGCTGGCTTAGTTAGCGGAGCATGCAACTCTTGATCTCGGGGTCATGAGTTCAAGCCCCACGTTGGGTGTGGAGCCTACCAAAAAAAAAAAAAAGTTAAGATAGTAATTTTTATGTTACAAAAATTAAGAAAAAAAATGGGAAAACCTATATGAAAAACACCTACCACAGGGCCTGAAAGTAAATATTTCTTTCCATCTTTTGAGTCTTCCCACAGCACTTATTGTGGTATTTGGCACACAATAGTTACCATAAATGTTTGCTGAATGTAAAGTGGGCTTGAGCATGCACTCCAAAAGAAGGAGGTGTTTTCTGAAAACTCTGATTGGTTGGGAGATCCAGAACATGTTCAGGTCTTTTCAAACTAAGAATCTGAATAACAGTAGAGACTGACTCCAACAGCTTAGTGAAGTTCTGTTGTTGTCAGAGTAGGAGCCTTCAAATGATTCCTCATCCTTGAAGGTAAGTGACAAACAGGCTTTCACTTAAAGTGAACCCAAGCACTTAGAACAACCCAACAGGTCCAGAACATTTTCCCCCTTAGTTTAATTTCAAATTCTCCAGATGTCTACTTATTTAACTGTTTATGCAGTAATAAAATTTTACCTTGTGGCTTTGACCTCAATTGCACAAAATCGATTGTGGTTCTTATCTGCCTAAAAGCAGAAAGATTTTCTCAGGGAGTAACAACCACTATTGAAAAGGCAAAGAAACAGCACTCAGCTATGGCAGGCAATTCTATTTTCAGTGACTCTTTTCTCCCTTTCTTTTTCTCTCTCACGTGCTGACATCAGGAACTCTCACAATCTCTCAGAAATAGAGCACGAAGCTCGAGATAAAGTCCTGTTCATTCCACCAGGGAGTTTCCTACAGGTTCATGTCCAGGCAATGTTCCTGCCTGTCCCTTGGGTACTTTTCTGAGATTCCAGGATCTGCCCCTCTCTGTGAGAACGTGTGTATGTGCAAGTCCTGAACCTAAGCTGTGTGCTATACAGATACACATAATAACTTTCTTACACCTTCTTTTCACCTTTGAAAAACGTTCACAGGGGTAGGTATCATAGCTAAGTGCTTCAAATTACAGTTTCTCACTCCAGCGCCAAATCACTTCTCTACAGTTAATCAGGTAGGAGGCTCTTAAATACATTTTCTTCTAGGGCTTGTGGCCACTTCCTAACCCTAAGGTAAGTAGAATCCAGCGAGGCTGGAATAAAAACAATTTTTTTAAAATTAGACTTTATATTTTAGGTTCACAGCAAAACTGAGCTGAAGACTGAGATTTCACAAATAACCCCCTTGCACAGCCTCTCCATTATCAACATCCGGGAGGGAGTGATCCATTTGTTACAACTGAAGAACCTATTCTGACATCATAATCACCCAAAGCCCACAGTTAATATTGGGGTTCACTGGATGTTGTACATGCTATGAGTTTGGACAAATGTATATTGACATGTATTCACCGTTATACTATACAGAATCATTTCACTGCCCCAAAAATCCTGTGTTCTGGCGAGACTCCATTTATTTATATTTATTTATTTATTTATTTATTGAGACTCCATTTAAAAGGGTGATACGAGAGGAAAAGAAAAAAAGCGTGCAGCCCAGAGACTTGACCAAACTCCAAGTTTCTTCCCAAGTTCAGGGCTCCCAGCCGACCGATCTCTCCAAGTCTAGCCAAGGGAAGGTAGCTCCTCCCCCTCCTCCTTTAAGTGTCAAGCAAATGGGTTTCCTGTTGACATCGGAATATGGTGAAAGGGCAGGAAGAGGCCAAGCCACCTCCTCTTTCCCCGGCTTCCTATCCCATTTATTTATTTTATACACGTTTGTTTTGGTCGGGCGGGCGGTTCCAGCGTGTGGCTGTGGGGCGGCCCCAGCGGCTGTAACCCCTCCCCGAGGAGGCGAGGCCTGGCCACAACCCGCCCCATCCCGGCTCCAACTCGGCGGGGCGGGGAAGGGAAGGAGGAAGGGGGAAGAGAGTGGGAGACAGCAAGCTGGGAGAAGGAGGCCGCGGGTGCGCCGCGAGGAGGCGGGGAAACCGGCCCGGCCCGAGCCAGGCCGCTCCCCCGCGGGCTGCAGCAGGTGGAGTCCGCAGAGGTAGCCGCCGCCGCTGCCGCCTCCCCCGGGCCCGAGGGCGCTGGCGTGCAGCGTCGGTGCGTGCGGACCCGGCGCCAAGGCCCACGGCTTGCCCGCGGTTCCCGGGCTGCGCCTCCGCGCCTCGTCCATGGCTGAGGGCCGGCGGCGGGAGGACGAGGAGGAAGAGCTGCGCGAGCGCCGCGAGTTCGGGGGCCCGCGCCGCGCCCGGGGCCGTGCGCTGTCGGGCCACTCCGCCGCAGGTGAGGGGCGCGGGGAGCGCGAGGGGGTCCGGGGGAGGAGGGGACCGAGGGCTGGGCGCCCCGGGGCCGCGCAGGTCCTGCCCCGGACGGCGGCGGCTCCCTCACCCGCCCGGCTGGGACCGGCATCTTTGACTCTGCGCGGGGAGACGCAGGGAGGGTGGCTTTTCCATCCTCATCCTCACTTTCGGGCCGAGGCCCCAGAAAATTCAAACTGGTCTCTACGTGCTAGTGGTCGTGGAGCCGAAACGACAGCTGTTTCGTACGCACTAAATCCAGGAGCTGCTGGCTTGAACTTGGGGCCCGGGTGATTACTTATCTCCAGATGAGTTAGAGGCCGGTGCACGATTCTCTGGGTCTGGCAGCTCCGGGGACGACCCCTCCCGATGAGTTTGCCTGCGCGGCCGCTACTAGGTCACACCACGTGCTGATCAAGTCTGGTTTCGTGTCGCCTGAACTTCGGACCTTTGATTCTGCCCAACCCCCCACCGCCCGAGCTCACCAGTTATCTATAGCACTTGCTTTAGAGTTATTTTGTGAGCCCCTCAGTCCAGGATATAGCATGCGAAAAGGGGGTTCATTTGGACCGAGACTCATTTCTGGGTCTGTAGTTACTTTCATGGTCTTGTGTTTTTGGGTGCACAAAGGCGGCTCGGATCAATAGTTTGGAACTTAAGTGGAAGAGTAAGTGTAGATCCACACCCCTTTTCTGTTCCTGGGGCAGCTTTTCAATCAAACATAATGGAGAGTAAATTCTTTGGCCTTTGGTTCCTACTGGATTAGCCACGTATCTGCAAACTGGAGGGAAGAACAAACTTAGGGAGATGACAACAGGAGGGAGATAGAGAAGTGAGAAAGATTTAGATGAGAACTAGTCGTTCAAGCCTCTTTAGAATATGGATCATAGTAAACATTCCATCAAGTCATGGAGAAGCTTTTCTATGTGGCTCCCTTAACCTGAGGGAAAGTTGGAGAATTAAGATAACAGGTCTGTGGAGAACCAGTGAGGGATAGAAAATGGGATGAAAGGAAAGAATTTAGTGGAACATAAAGAAATAGTCAATTTGATACCCTTGGTGTAGGATCTTGGAACCTTAAAAATAATTCTTGATGCCCATTACTAGGACTTTTCATCAAAGTAAGGCATTTGACTTTCTTCATGAACACCAGTCGTTTTGAAAGTAATTGATAGTTTTGTTCAGTATAAGCCATACTAATGAAATCATGGGCAGTTGCTGGCTATGAATTAATATTTCTTGCAAGAATACAATGAAAAACTTTACAAAGATGTACCTCCATTGATGTGCTGATTTAAACAGTGTAGGGTGCCTTGGATTCCTATTACCTTCAGCAAACAGCTTCACTTTCTCTTACAACAGACTGTAACGTGGAGAGTATTGGAGGTCAGACTAGATATGATCCAGATACATGTTCATCATTTAGTTGCAATATGTATGTTTATTCCAAGGCTGGCAGAAGCTTTTCTAGATTCTGTGATAATACTTTGCTGGAAATTGGTGTTTGCAGTCTAACCATGTAATATGCCCTGTTTCCATTAAGGGGTGAAGGACAGAAATACTATGAAGTGGGCAGAGGGTTAAACTTGCAACAATTGGTCTTCTTTATTTTGGGATACATTGTTTAATAGTCCACATTTCTTTGTAAGCTGTGCTCCTCTTTCCACTCATTAGTCCACGTGGTTTTCAGACACCATCGCATTCCTTACCAAGCTTGGGCGTTTGTTCGTTCTGTTCCCGCTAGATGTTGTTCTCCGTCCAAGTGAGAGTGTGAACTGACCCAGAAGCTTAGTGTTTCTTCTGCTTATCGTCTTTATAATCTTTCACCTCTCCGGTTCTTGTTGCTTCCTTCTTCCCCCTCCGTTTTACAATCTAGATTTTCTTTTTCTTTGATCTCACATAACTTGACACCATACATTTGGGGTTTATGGACTGAGGGAGTCTGTGAACTCCTTCTCTTCCTGCTAAATGTAGGTGTGGTTGTGAAGGTGTGTTTATTTATTTTTGCAATATACATTCAGAAGAGTGTATAAAGCCTGTAAATTATAAAGTGAAACTCTTGTAACCTGTGTCCAAATCAAGAAATAGAATATTGTCGGGGCGCCTGGGTGGCTCAATCTTTGAGCATCTGCCTCCGGCTTGGGTCATTTTCCCGGGGTCCTGGGATCGAGCCCCGTATCGGGCTCCCTGCTCGGCGGGAAGCCTGCTTCTCCCTCTCCCTCTCCCCCTGCTTGTGTTCCCTCTCTCACTGTCTGTCAAATAAATAAATAATATCTTAAAAAAAATAGAATATTGTCAGTTCCCTAGAAGCAGACTCTGATCCCTCCTGGTCATGGCCTCTTATTTCCCCTTGAGGGAACTACTATTTTTTTTTTTTTGTATTAATTTCCTTGCTTTTCTGTACAGTCTTCCCTGTATGCGTATGCATCCCTATACAGTATTTAGTTTACCAATTTTAAAACTTCATGTAAGTGGAACCATCCTGTCTGTATTCTTTAGTGTTATGCTTTTTTCACTCAATATTGTTTGTAAGATTTATCCATACTGTTATATGCAGCTGTAGTTTGTTTTCATTGCATAAATATATCACCCTTTTTGGCTATCATTTTTTTTATTGATTTGTTGGGGTTCTTACACAGGAATCTGAACTTTTGTTGGTTGCATGTGCTGCAAATATCTTCTTCCACTTGGGCTTATTTTTTAAAATTTTCTTTATGGTTTCTTTTGAAGTGGAAATACTTAATTTCAATGTAGGTGTATTTATGACTCTTTCTTTGTAGTTAGTGACCCTCTTCCCCTTGCTGTGCCCCTTGGTTAAGAATGCTTTCCCTAACCAAGGTCATGAATATATTCTCCTAATCTCCTGTATTTCCTAAAAGTTTTGTAGCTTTCTTTGGGGAGAGATACCATAACTTTCATCAGAATCTCAAATGGGTCTGAGACCCTCTTGCTCACCTTCAACATTTTTTTTTTTAAAGATTTTATTTATTTATTTGAGAGAGAGAGAATGAGAGATAGCGAGCACGAGAGGGAAGAGGGTCAGAGGGAGAAGCAGACTCCCTGCTGAGCAGGGAGCCCGATGCGGGACTCGATCCCGGGACTTCAGGATCATGACCTGAGCCGAAGGCAGTCGCTTAACCAACTGAGCCATCCAGGCGCCCTTCTTCCATGTGTTCTGAGTAAAATAAGTAATATCGTCAGTATGAGGGCACAGAATAAAATTCCTGTTCACCATCAATCAGATGTTTCTTATCCCTTGTGAGGTCAGTATTATTTTCTCCATTTTATAATTGAAAAGATTCAGGCTCAGAAATATTTAAGCAACTTGCGGAGGATCCATCAGCTAGTAAATGGTAGAATGGGGACTTGAATCCATGTCTTTTTGACCTGAAAGTCCGTGTTTTTCCAAGCTGTCCCACTGGCTGCTAATAAAAGTCAGTTGCTATTAATGCTTCACACGTTTATACCTGTATGTTGCTTGTTATATTTTACAAATACTTTACATTTATTTGGTGCTTTTCTGATGAGGAAGGGCTTTCACAGCCTCATTTAACTTGATTCTTTCAAATAAGCTGAGAGGGAAGAGGGTATGTTTTGTTATTCCCATTTTTTTTTTTAAAGCTTTTATTTATTTGACAGAGAGAGACACAGCAAGAGAGGGAACACAAGCAGGGAGAGGGGGAGAGGGAGAAGCAGGCTCCCTGCTGAGCCGGGAGCCCAATGCGGGGCTTGATCCCAGGACCCGGGGACCATGACCTGAGCTGAAGGCAGACGTTTAACGACTGAGACCCAGGCGCTCCAGTTATTCCCATTTTATTTTATTTAATTAATTTTTGAAGTTTTTTTTTTATTTATTTGACAGAGCATAAGCAGAGGGAGAGAGAGGGAGAAGCATGTTCCCTGTTGAGCAAGGAGCCCGATGCGGGACTCGATCCCAGGACCCTGGGATCATGACCCAGGCTGAAGGCAGCTGCTTAACCGCCTGAGCCACCCAGGTGCCCCCAGTTATTACCATTTTAAAGACATAAATTGAGGGGCACCTGGGTGGCTCAGTTGGTTAAGCGTCTGCCTTTGGCTCAGGCCATGATCTCAGGGTCCTGGGATTGAGCCCCGCATCGGGCTCCCTGCTCAGTGGAGAGCCTGCTTCTCCTTCTCCCTCTCCTCCCTCCCACCCCGTGCTCTCGCTCACTCTATCTCAAATAAATAAATAAAATCTTTTAAAAAAATTAAGACAAGTAAATTGAAACTCAGAAATGTTAGAAGACTTAGTCTAAAATAATACAGGTAATAGGTACACCTGCACCTCAGTTACCTCTATTGTGTGTTTCAAGTCATAAACTATAGTTTTTTTGAGTTGATACATGGGACATACCAGGTCATATAGCCCAGTTTGTAGTTGTCTAAAAAGTTGAAGAAACTTACTGAATTGCTGTATGAGTTCTAGTAATTTGGGGGTGGAGTCTTTAGGGTTTTCCCCATAAAGTATCATGTCATCTGCGAAAAGAGACTTGTGTACTTAATCCCCATCCCCTATTTCACCCACCCCCCTCCCATTTCCCCTCTGGTAACCACCAGTTTGTTCACTATTTTTTTGCTGCTGTTCTCCATATCTAAGAGTCTCTTTTTTGTCTCTCTTCTTTGTTCACTTGTTTTGTTTCTTAAATTCCACACATGAGTGAAATCATACGGCATATGTCTTTCTCTGACTGACTTATTTCACTTAGCATTATAATCTCTAGCTCCATCCATGTCATTGCAAATGGCAAGATTTCATTCTTTTTGATGACTGAGTAATATTCCATTGTATGTATATATCACATCTTCATTCATCATTGGTGGACAGTTGGGCTCCTTCCATATCTTGGCTGTTGTAAATAATGCTGCTATAAACAGTAGGGTGCATGCATCCCTTTGAATTAGTGTTCTAGTATCCTTTGGGTAAATACCCAGTGGAATTACTGAATCATATGGTAATTCTATTTTTAA